ATTTTTTTACAGAAGAGTGTCCACCATGCACTTGCACTGCACTATAATTAGAATAGTAGAATAGAATGATATATAAATAGATGAAAATTATATATACATGCAACCGTATATTAATATAATATATAACAACAAACCAGACGTGTATACTCTGACACTATTATCATATTAGTATAATAGTCCCAGGTATACTGATTTGTATCACTACAATATAATAGTTATTACGGTGCGGTTGAATTTCCTGTCATTTATTCATCATCCATGCACGAACTTGTATCAGAAAAAAATATATCTCTGTAAATTAACCTCAGTTTCAGGTATAGAGATGTGATCTATTTCTGTGACATGTGCTTTTGACCATCCACAAGAACCTGCGGTCATCCGATGTTCAGTACTTCAGTACTTTGATTACTGTTTAAGACCACAACATGTAAATTGTAATGACACCAAACTAAATTTTAATGTGTTAGCTCACAAGGTACATGTAACAGTCCGCAGTAAGTTTAACAAATCTGATCATAATTCAGATCTATCGCAACTCACGTGCTCGTCCAAGATGAGCTTGAGGAAATCCGAGATCTATATTTAATTAGATTGGTTGTCACCCTAGCTCCTTGTAGTTATATGCTATTTGCATTATTCTTTCTTTCGACGGACTTATCTTTGCTCTTACTCCTAGGTTGTCGCTTTCTTGGAAGGGGTTTTACTTGATCATACGATCCCATACATTCAAGCATTCATGTGGCAACGAAACGTTTGAGGTGGTTAAAATCTTGTGAACCAGTAGTACCATATGTCGTTTTTACTTTCAAAATTTGAACTACATTGCTAGTTTTTAATGTTATACACCACGTTAACGGTATCTCTGAATATACAAATCACTAGAAACTTTGTTAACTATAGTAACATGTTGAACGTAAGGTTCGAAAGTTTGGTTATGATCAGTAAGTTGCGAGCTTTTCAGGGATATATCAATTTCCATACTGATGATATTGTTAAAATGTTTCCCTTCAACAAACTATACTCTACAAATTTCTAGAGAAGATATAAGTTCATTTAACAGAGATACAAAAAAATTTAATGATGGAAAGTGTTTCAAACCTGGCTTACATCCGATTAAAAAATTTGGGAAGAGGCTTGTCCTATATATGCAGCGACGACTTACAGTCCTTACCAAAGGTACATCTAAAATTAATGTTGTTCGGTGAGCCTCTTTCTCTTCCCTGCACTTGTTGGATGGTCGACCTTAAGATATAACATAAGGTGTGTATGTATTCTCAAAAAGGAGATTGGTTGAAATGATACTCATTTTTACTATTAATATTGTCGATGGCGCAAGAAAGAGATGTATTTAACTAATCGACTCTATCTATAGCTAGTTTGGCTTTTAGGTTACACCTTTATCGTCATTTTTATTTAATTTGAAAATCGTCTTCTGATAAATATTGAGAGTCCCACAATCACTGAAAAAGCAAAAACAACATTCTAATGCAATTTGTTTAGAACGAAATTGTCATTGGACGTTGACAAATATTTAAAAGGGTCAGATCGTCCGTTCTACCAGTCCGTAACTAAGGAAAGCTTCCATTTTGAATTTCGAGTTTTATTTTAACTATGTAATTTTTCATCAAAAAAATAAACAAAAATAACAATTTTTGCCACAAATTTTATTTTAGGGTCAATATTTAAACCATCAAGAAGCGTACGAAAAGTATAAATACGTTTAGATTTTATGTTTGACATCGGTAGTATACCAATGACGTCACATTGACTTTTCATTTATGGCATTTTTAAGCCAAAATATTTACTAAAATGGTATTTATTTTAATGTGTGGCATTAGAATGAAGATAACTGTATTATACTTTAAGCTTAAGTTGATTTTACTGTCGCAAATATCCGTTTACCTAGCTCCACTACGCGTCGCTACGTAAACTCAATTTGCGACAGTAAAATCTACGTTTTACGAAGGCCAAGCTTAAAATACAATACAGTTATCTCCTAAATTGTCATTTTTTTGTCTTTTTGATATAGAAACTCCTTTTTGTATAATACTGGCTATAGATATACTTAATGTGTATTATCGTCAAGTTGTAGTACTATTATATAACATACGATACATATTACAGTACAAACGAAGAACACGTGTTTCAGGAGTGACCTTTGTCAGATACATTCGAAAGAAGACACATGCACTAATACATGTTATATAAAAATAAGAAAATGTGGTATGCATGTGATTGCAAATGAGACAACAAATGAAATGTCACCGTACGGCCTTCAACAAAAATAAAACCCATACCGTAAAGTCAAATAACGACCCCAAATTGACAAAATTTCAAACAATTCAAACGAGAAAAAGCAACGGTCTTACTAAGGACAAACAATAAACGAAAAACAAGTATGACAGACATCAACCAAAAACCTAAAAAGGACCTTAACAAAATCGTCCAAATCGCCGAAAATCAACTTTTCCTGGTTAGTTACAATCTTTGTTTAAGTGCAAATGCATATACAAAGTTAGAATCATATATATAGAAGAAAGTTAATAAATCTCCTGTTCTTTGATATTTTCGAATTCCTTCTCTCAAGAAAAAAAATATAAACTATAAGGGGAAGTGAAATTTAATGAAATGGCTGTGCCCTTTTCCTTAGACCCAAACACTTCACGAAATCCTTAATCTTGTCAAAGCATGAAAATAAGTTTATTACGGAAAGTAACATTTTGACAATGAAAAATAGATTAAATGAGTTTGTAAAAATCTGTTTGCTGTATGAGGAAGAATTTTATATATATATATATATATAGTCTGTGTAGATGGACGATCAGACGTACGCGGAAACTTAAAAATTAAAAATTATAACCATCCGGTAGTGGGATTATCATATTGAATGTGGGTTGTGTAAAAACAATAACCTTTGTATGTAACCTTCCAGAAGTTTTTATGCTACTAGCAAAGTATTAAAGAAGACATCCAAGGGATTGCCTTTATCTTATTTCACATTACATGATAGATGATAACAAGTAATTGCAAACATAATAAGATAAATAATATTACTCTGGAGCGGAATATTTTAGTGGTACTTCAAAGCCTAGATTTTGCTTTCCAAATACTTTAAATAAATTAAAAGTCCTCCTTATTCCTTAAGTGAGACGATCATTGCTAGGAGATACAAATCTGAAGAGTCTATATTGAGGACAAATTCCTGTGTTCCTCTAATATGATTTGCATCATATGTTTGTCTAAGTTATATAGTAAATATGAAATTTTATCTATAACATGGATGACAAATTTTCTTCGCAGTAAGATTATTTAAGATATATGAAGTTCAAAAGTACCAATATATTATGAAATTTAAAACCTTGAAATTCTTAAAAAGTTTAAAACCCCATGATCAACTTCAGTGCATACCATAATTTGTCAACCTGTCAGTATTTGTTTGTTCTTTGTTATTAACAAGAGGTTGATGGGTTTATTTTTATACAAAAAATAGGTTATAAAAGTATGTTAGTGTACGGTGCGATAAAATAAATATCTGTTTTTTTTGGCAAACAAACGATCAATTTTAAGGTTATAGTACATGTTTCGTTCGAGATGGAGATTTTCTGTGTGTAAGGTTTTTTTTTTTGTCAAAGTGTTTCCTTTTTTATCTAAACATTTTCCAACAAAAACATTACCATTAGAACATGTAGAAAGCATTACAGCTATTTTATATAATACGAAAAATAACATAATGGTATGGCGTACTTTTTCTTCATTTTGTTGAAGGTCACAAAAAAACTTTAGACATCGTTTGAGACGAGTGTTTGTCACATGATTCGGAATGTATATGTATACTATATGCATGTACATGAACAATTATAAGAAGCGAGTTTCAGTTGATTTTCTCAGTGAAATCTAACCTTTAGTGATACACTCTTAAATCTGTTAATCTAAAAAAAATAAGGTAGCCTAGTAACTTCCCGAAATCATCTTTATTCAGCAGTATTAATCATTTCCACTATTATCAAATGGTGTTATATTGTATTAACGCTTTTGTAACTATCGGCATTTTGTTTGCTTTATTTGAACAAATCTTCTTTTAGGGTAAAAATAAAGACTTGGGTAGTTCTGTATTATATTCAGGTTGTTAATTTATTTTCATCTAACTATATGTTAGTGTTTCCAAATAACTTCTTATTTTTCTAAAGGTTAATGTAATATTTTAAAGAACAAAGATCAACGAATGGAGGTTGTACACAACTAAATTTATCTACAATTTTATACTTTGTATGTAAACTTTATCGCGTGCGTGTGTTTCTTATAAAAAGAAGGAAGAGAAAAGACCACATTTTCAATATATCGACCGCTAGGCCTTATGACGACTTTTTGTTCCACTTTCCATACATGCACGATGATTTAAGGCTCATACCATGCATACATATGACAAGTATGTTACTATACATCATCCAGTGAATTTAAAAAACAATTTGATTGTCTTAGTCTAAAATTGAGAGTGTGCACGTTTACGTAGTGAGACGCATTTTTATGCACTTCAGCCAATAACAAAATGGCGGCTCAATCAAATTTCACAAGACAAAAGCAAGGAAAAAAAGTACTTGAAAAGAAAAAAAAAGCAGTAATTATACGTAAATAAGTAGCGATTGCAATAACATTATTTGTTAATAATCAGTTGGTTACATCTTTGTCCGATAATTCCTACAACATTTCCTGCTTTGATTATAGTAAAGCATAACTCCCCATGAAATCATATTGCCTTTTTTGAAATAAAAAAAAAAGGAAAGAGAACAAAAATATGATTTTGAAAATGCAATTTCTGTATAATCTTTCATCGATCGTGTAGAGTTCATCTCGGAATAAGAAGATGATTCAAAAATGTGTTGCATAGTTTTCCACTTAAGTTTAAATAACAAAATATAAACGATATCAGAAGAGATGATCAAATGTATTTAAATGCTCGACAAGATAAGCGTTTATCGGTTACGATTTTCAACATGTCTACATCGTTAAACTGCATGTAAGAATTTCAAAAGATGCACAGAATATTAGTTTTGTGCTATTATTTTGTAGCTATTGTTGCAAATGACGACTTTCTGTTGGAAAAATTTCCTGTCGATTTTGGATGGGGAGTATGTAGTTCAGCATACCAAACGGAAGGAGCATGGAACGAACACGGTAATACTTTTTAGAATTTATTTGTAAAATTAAATCTTTACTAGGTCTTTCTATGTATTCATGATGCAGACAAAATCATTAAAAATAGCAATTGAAAATTTACAAACGACTGTAAAGCTTATCATTGGACACCACTTCTCTTGATTTTGACCCAGTGGCGGATCCAGAACTTTTCATAAGGGGGCCCGCTGACTGACCTAAAAGGGGGGGGGGGGCGCTCCAGTCATGCTTCAGTGATTCCCTATATAATCAACCAAATTTTTCCCACAAAAGGGGGGGGGGCCGGGCCCCCCAGGCCCCCCACCCCCCTGGATCCGCCTATGTGACCCTTGAATTTTGAAACATTCTGTTAGTAAAATCTGTGAGCAGCGATTTTCTTACTCGGTATCTGAGTGTTGAGAGAATGTCAAACATTTGTTAGAAGCATGGAAAATTTGCAGGAGTGTGTGCCAAAAATGATTGAAATTCACTATCAAGGGATTTTAATAGTAAACTACTATATAAAACCTTTGTATTACCTCGGACATATAATATATATAATTCACACTTAACTTGATTTACATGTCATACTGTGAAATTATATGTCTCCGAGATATGTGTATATTCAAATGAGAAATTAATTGCCACTTTCTTTTAAATATCTAATCTTAAAAACAAATACGTTTATTAAATATTATTTCTGTTGATCACAAATTGTCACGTCTCGACTAGAAAATTATTATTATAATTATTGATGGAATTTCATTATATATAAATTGCTTTCTTTCTTTAGAATAAACAAATAATATTAACTTTGTCGCTTTATTTTAGTTATATAAGAACATATTTCGTTATAGAAGTGTGCCTAAACGCAATGGGGTAACAAATAAAAAACGACGGCTTTGGGGGCCATACATCACCGACCATTTCACACCGCTTTAAATCACTTCAAAACCTGAAAATCCCTCTTTTGGTACGCACTGAAACCTGGACCGGACCGGACTCCGGACCCGGACTTTGGTATGAAACCCGGAACCGGACTGAAATTTTCCCACATTCCGAGCGCAAAATTAAAACAAAAATGAAGAATACAATAAATAAATAAATAAATAAATGATCAAGTAAATATATGTTTAATCAAAGCCTATTTATTCAAAATTTCTCCAAGAGTTTAATATTTTGTGCTTTATGCTTTTGTATCAATAATGATAACTAGTGGTTTTATATGACCTAATTGATGAGAGACACTTTATTTTCGGTACGTTTAAAAACCGCTCAGGACCTCCTGAGTGCACTCAGGACATAAAAAGTGCACTCAGGACATGTAATAGATGTGTTGGTGAGCGTTGAGGGTATGCATTCGATATATAATTTAATTTTTGATCTTATAATCAAGGCCGCATTCATTAACCGGGAACTTTTTTTACCCCAAGATGCCTGATGGTACTCTGAATAAAATCTTCTGCGACTCCTGATTGGATGATACACTGTTGGAATTTTTCCAATAAAATAAGACATTTAAGCAGCGATCGACTGATCAACGATGTAATACACAATCTTGAACAGTTGAGTACGGGCTGTGACCTGACATGACCCCGGACTAGCTTGAAGTTTACTATACCTGCGTGTATTGCATTACGATAACTAACTGTATGTAAACTGTTTATTGTGGCATAGCTTGTTGACGGGACATTTGATCAACCGTGTAATACACAGGAAATTTAAAAGACATTTATCCGAGATCCAACGAAATAATCAAATGTTGGTCGTAATAGGCGAGTCCGGGTGGTGACCTGAAGTGACCCCGGACTAGGTGTATTCGCAAAATATAGACATTGATAGAGATATAAAACTTCACACATTATGTGATGAAAAGAGGTTTTTCATTTATATTCATTTACCTTTTTGCTTATTTGATTGTCAACGTAAAAATTAACAAAAAGACTTTTATCCGAGAATCAACAAAATAATACTAGGTGAGTCCGGGCCGTGACCTGAATTAACCCCGGACTAGGAGTAGACGAATTATAAATATAAACTAAATTAATTCATCCAAAAATATGTCCATGTGTTTTAAAGTCATTTGTAAATATACACACTGTAGGTATGATTTATTTTTATTATCATCATAACGCATCTTGTTACAGTTCTCCAAAAATTAACTAACTTCTCCTGAATAAAAAAGGAAAAAAAATAATTCTAAGAAAATTCACTTTCCACCTATAATTTTTTACCCAGTCCGGGTCCGGCATTGTCTTGTCTTGCAATTGCCTTGTCTTGTGTGAAGATCCCGCCTTTCAAAGGCACGCCTCTGGTTACATACTAGAATATGGTGTATTTAACACCCACTAAATGTTTATTACACTATTAAAATCTAAAACAAAAGATAATTTAGATTTTAAATATTCACGCCTTTGACTGAGTGGTTGCAAGCAACCCTTTCTTTTTATTCACCGGTAATGTTTATAATATTGTATTACGTCTAATGTGCAATGCAAAGCAAAGTTTTCTACTTATGTATTCTACAAGATGAAGAAAATCTGTACATCCACATTTACATTGACAGTTACAGAGCAAGGCACTAGCATCCAATATTAGTTGTGTACTAATTTCTAGTTTTTCTAATGTTCTACATTTCGCCGCGGCAGAGCTCGCTTTTATTGATAATGTGTGAAAGTTCAAGCAGGTGATAGTTTCTAGCAGAGGCTAAAGCAGTACATGAATGAATGAAATGGTCTAATGTTCCAGCGTCCTCCTCACATAAGAGACATGTTGGGTTGATGTCAACTTGGTTGAAAGCTGTCCTATTACATTGAAGAATATATGTTCCAGTAAGGAGTCTAAGTTTGATGGCCGGGAGACGCTGGATGTCTTTTGCAGAAGTCTGGACACTTGCTAGAGCATTGACGGTAGTTGACCAGTTTTACTATTAGATGTAGAAATAAATGAAATACTCTTGTAGTAGACAGACATGGTAACCACATGTTCAACCCAGAAGGTGTCAATCGCTTTCCTGATAGAGTTCTTTCATTTTAATTTTGAAGGTGGTTCATCTAAAATGCTAAAGATTGATGGTAGGCTGTATTTAATTAATAAAGATCTCATTTTGTGAACCAACTGTCCTTTACGGCTGTCACGTTGAGATGAGGATTTGTCTTTTTGCGACTTGTCTTTCTATAGAGTTCTCTTATCTTGAAATGTTTGCAAAACTTCCCAAAGCTAGTTTATGGATTTTACTGATTACTGGAGTCGTACCCAATAGTATGATGAATTGAGTCATGCTTACTCGCTCCACTTATGAAAAAGAAAGTAATGCCGTTGAATTTATGTCTGCCAACTCACCCCACTGATAAATAAAAGTATGTACAAAATTAAAGCCTACCAACTAGCCCCACTTATGAATAAAAGACAATGGTAAATTTAATTTTGGAAGGAGAAGTCTCAGGCGTAACTAAATTGCTTTTAGACAATTGGCTATGAAAGATGAAAAATCTGGAAGTTGGTTTACAAAACTACACAATTTAACTGAAATTTATTGATTGCCGTCGCCTTATGATATCATTGAGAATCCACCATCAAAAATAAGCTGGAATAGGCATGTGAATAACTGTATTAACAATTATTTTTTTACAAAATTTAAAGATGGAAGCTAAAGGAAATTCATCCTTGCAATATATTAATTTTAATGACTCCAACATAGGAACTGTGCATAATATTTGGAAAAGCAGTGGGACTAACCCGTACTCCGTAAATATGGCTGCTATTAAAGTTAAAATTGCCACTGGAATAATGATTCTTCAGTATCAGAGGTCTAGAATTTCAAAAAACTATTTCAGCAAATTGTCCATTATGTAACATTGAACCAGAAGATGTGACTCACTTTATACCGTTAAATGTGAAAAGCTGTCAAGCATAAGAAATCGCTTTATCCAAGAGCTGAAATCTTTTCTCGTAGATAGCAATAAGCCGTTTTTGCTAATACAAGGCAGAGGCGGATCCAGTCATTTATAAAAGGGGGGTTCCTAACCCAGGATAAAGGGGGGGGGGGGGGGGGTTCCAACTATATGTCCCCATTCAAATGCATTGATCGTCAAAAAAAGGGGGGTTCCAACCCCCGGACCCCCCTGGATCCGCCACTGCAAGAACTATTTGATGATGAAGAGAATCTTTCACATCTATAATTAGAAACTATACCATAAACGTTTACTTTTAATGTCAGAGTAAATTTATTCTCAGTATAGCGGTATATAAGAAACAAAATAAATTCCATATCGGATAACTTTTCGATATATACATTTGATCTGCATTTTACTGGATTTTGTCAGGATTTATATAGTGATTCTTATTCTACCGTCAATATGATGTGGATAGTGTTTGAACTGTTAGCTCGTATCCGATGCTTATAAGATATTAACTGATTCTAGATTTTAAGTACTTCGTTTGCGTGTTATATAGAATATTTGCCTTACCTAATGAACAGTGGAAAGTTTTTTTTAGATTTTATGATAACAAGGATATAGTTTGAACAGTAAACGCTAATACGAGGGCAGGAGTGTTATACTATAAAATAATTGCTTACCTAATACACCTTATCGCTATTTGTCCGCCATTACTGGACACCACACAGGTTCCCGTAAAATGTTGACGTCATAATACAAAATATCTGACGCCACAATGGAAAGGTGATTGTTGTATGACGTCAATAGTTCAAGCGGGACAGATTCTCAGGTCAGCCGGCAATAGCGATTAGGTGTATGAACAGTGGAACGTTTTTTTTTAGATTTTATGATAATAACTAAACAAGGATAGTGTTTGAACAGTAAAGGGTAAGTAAACGCTATACACCTTATCGCTATTCCCGCTTGACCCGAGAATCTGTCCCGCTCGAACTTTTGACGTCATACAACAATCACTTTTCCATTGTGGCGTCAGACATTTTCTATTATGACGTCAAAATTTTACGGGAACTTGTGTGATGTCCAGTAATGGCGGACAAATAGCGATAAGGTGTATTACGAGAG